ATTCCTTAATCAAAAGCATTTGAGAATAAAAAAATTTTGAAAATTATTTATTAAAAACTTTTATTATTCAAAAAAAATTTTTGCCATTCTTTTCGCCAGGGACTGTATATATTCTAAAATGTCCCAGACATCATAAAGTCTTTGTCCAAGGACTTGGACTGTCCCAGACTGTCTCATCCAAGAACATGTCCCGTCCCAGTCACAACACTGCATCCACGTGGTGCTAGTCACCTGACTTCGGAGGCGAAATTCAGCCAAAAATTTGTTTACACTCCTTTTGTTCCTTATGGAAAACAAACCAGGATTTATGTACTAGACCAGTACAACTCCTAATTAATGGAATCCCTTACAATATCATAAGGCATGGGAAGCAGCCGGTCTTCCAATGAAAAAAGGGACGGTAAAACTAGCCTTTCAGAATCAACTGCAATAGTTCAAGTTGAACAGTTTTGAAGAGAAAAAGAAGGTTAGCAATAAAGCTCTTGAAGAAATTTCAGGTGATTTTAAGTGAATTCTTTCTTGTAAACTCTGGTAAATAGTGGTAGTCATGACAGGAATTCTGGGAAATTACGGTTCTGCCTAGTTTTCTGCTATTTTGATATACTAATTTCTGTAGAATTACGATCCTGCACGGTCATGACTGCTTATTTGCTGTAGTCTCATCCAATCAAGCACAGAGTATTGGAAAGTTGAAAGGGATTACTGAGAGACTAAGATCCTGCCCAATATTCTACATTTCAACTGAGATGCAGTATGATGACAGTTCCTAGCAGTGCTATCTGTTTGCCTAAGACGGAATGTTATTTAATTTTTTTTGACGCTATATTATATTTGTAGATTAATATAAAGAAGAACAGTTGTGTTTATAATTATTGGAAAAAGATTATGCATACTTTATCAATCAATAAGAAAATTCAGAAAATTGAGGTAAATGTTTCTTTTTCAGTAGTTCAATGTATTAAGTCTGTTACTGATTTTGTCACAAATAGGAAAATCACCACTTGACCGTAACCACTATGACATCTGAACAGATGAGGTATACCTAAGGTAATCTACTATTAGTATTACTAACCAGTTTTTGAACAAAAATATAAGCTTGTCAAATCAATTAGAACAGGTGAGTACTGACTGTTACGTACAGTATAACATAGTAGGAAAGGTATATTAACTTTGTTATAGTTTATGCTTCAATGGTTATATGCATTAAGGATGAAGTTTCTGAATTCAATCTGAAGCCCAATTTGCAAAAGATGAAACAATAGAGAAAGACTCAATTCATGATGAAAATGATGATGCAAAAGAGATGACCCAATGAGACCTTGATAAATTCAAGGATGCATTCTTGAAAATAGAAGATTCAAAAAAGTAGACAATTAATACTGAAACTATAATAGAAGATACGCTTTACCGTTTTGATATCAAATGTTCGCATAAACAGTAAATATTGATATTATTGCACTTTATATGAAATCTTAGTTTACTTTGATACTAAATAACATTTTGCGATTTTTAAAGTCTTTGCCACTCATTCATTATTGATCCCGATGATGAAAACTGTATTAATGATAAGATTTTCACAGAAGCGGAGCTTAATGAAATTAGTAAATATAAGGTAAAGCAAATGTCACAATTATATATCACCTCTAATAAGTATATGTGATCTGAAAAATAAAATCTGGCTACTATTTTTTATGGGTGACTAGTATTTCAGGTGAAATCAGTTTCGTCAAATTGATCTGTAAAAATCTTTCAATATTTAGAGTTTCAGAGATGTCAGATAGTTTCAGATTATAGAAAATTTTTCTGGACGAAACATTTTGAATGTTGAAAATAGTTTCGCCTGAAATACTACAGGCGATGCTAGGGCTATTTGAGTACCCACTGGTAGTCATATGATTTATTTGGTAGTGTGATGACTGTGATGTTGTTATGAAATGATAAGTGCAGTATTTATAAGCAAATTTTCTTATAATTGACTATTTCAAATCAATTTAAATTGTGTATTAATTATACATTTTAAAGTAATATTTCAAAAAATGGTATTACATTTAGTAAAAATAAATTTTGCTTACAGTTTGATTCTTTGAAACGTTAAATAACTGCTTATAAAATAATCTAAAATGATCCTGATTTTAAAAGAGTTTGTTTAAAGATAATATACTATAATAATGAAATTTAAAGGTTTTTATATTATAAAACTTGTTTTAAAACTTTTAATAATTCAAAAAAAGTAATAAAACTTGTATTTAAAAAAGTTAAAAAAAATTTGAAATACTTTTTATATAATATAAAAAAATAAACCAATAAATAACTAATAATTTATAATATTTTATTGTTTTCATAAAAGATATAAAATTTATATAAATTATTATTATATATTAAATTTGTATATGGTTTAAATTATGTGATTATACAGTATTTATTATTTTGTTATTAGTTAATCTTTTTATTGATTGTATTTATTATTAAAATGTTGATTAATATTTTAAACAAATTAAAAAAAAGCCTTCTTATAAATATAGTATAATATAAATCAGAATCATATTAGATATGAGGCCTTTACAATAGAAAAGGGGAAACGGCTAGAAAAAATAAAAATTGAGTTTATACTAAATCTGAACATATTTTGACTTAAAAATTATATTTGACATATAAAAGTAAAATTGATTTTTTCTGGCTGTTTCCTTCCTTTCTATTGCAAAGATTCCATATATTTAAATAATAGAATAATTAAATGTATTATGTTAGATTTGAATAAATGATATAATATAAATATAATTTTTTTTAATTGATGATAAATATTTAATAGAAGTATTATTATAGAATTTAGTTAGTTTAGTATTTGATTATAAGAGTATTATAAATTTATAATTTAAATAAATTGAATGGATAGTTTATAAACTTAATAATAGTGAATATATTATGAAAATAAGTAAGAATTTATTGTAGATATAATTTCTATCAATTGGTATTCTAAGATTACATTAGAATCAATCATAAAGTAGACCTATCAAGGTGAGATATATAAATGTTATTCCAGTTAGAGTATCTACTAAAAGTGATATAAACTTGACTAGTTAAGAATATATTTTTATCTAAAATGAGAATTACTTTAGATAAGGTTAATTTTTAAATTTTGTAAATAGTAAATACAAACAATTTTGTATTAGAAATTAGATTTAGCAACAATTTTTTACTAATTTCAAAATAATAAATATATTTTTTGAATATCTAAGTATATAATAGATCCTTGAATAAAGAAGGCAACATATGTAAACTGTTTTATTAAATTTACATTAGTAATTACATTTTACTGTACCATTATATATTCCTTGATCAATAAGGAAATTGTTAAGATATATAATATGTACGTCTGGTTGTAATCTGACACAAGATGATAAATTAAGTTTTTGTTTAAACATCTTATTACATAAGAATCAGTTTAATAATACTGTGAACGAGTAAATATGACGCAGCTTATATAGCGCAGAAGATCAATGAATGTGACATAAATGATATATATAATATGTCAGACATATGTAGCATAACTGACAAATTAGACATAGTTGACATATTAGATAGAGTTGATATATTAGATATAGTTAATATATTAGATATAGTTGACATATTAGACATGTTAGTTATATTCCTCTATGTAATTTATTTTATATAAATAGGTAGCTTTTTAGTTCATGTAAGAGAGACAGATAGGAACCCGACAAGTTAGTTTTAGTAGTTTTAGAGGCAACTGGCCTATCGTGTTACATTTTTGTTTCAGTAATTCTTTTCTTTTCCTTTCTTACTTTATTCTCTTATTTTCTTTTATTTCTTTTCTTTTACTTCTATTATTTTACTCATAAATAAACATATTATCTTACACTTACAAATCATTGGCAATCTGTTAAATTACTCGATGTAATAGTATAAATACTTTCGATAAACTGACTAGGTTAAAAACTTGTAAATTGTTGAAAGATTACTGCTCAATTAAAAAGAATAAACTACTCGAATACCCCGTCTAACAGTTGTAGTTCGTGAGAATTACACGTTAGCAATACAAAGCTTACAAAATCAGAAGTTTAAGAAAGTAAAAATTTATTATTAAGAACTGAAATAGTATTGTAAATTATTGTATTAATTATTTAAGCATTTTTTTTAATCTAATAATATATTTAATATTAAGAAATGTTTCAACTGCAGATCTGATTAAAAATTCAGAATGAAGTTGTTATAAAAAGGTTTAGATTTCAGTGAAAATATTGCATATTCATATTTCTTTTAAGATGCGATAAAATCTTAAATCATTATTTTGATATTGTGAAATTTTTAATAATAATAGATAGAATAATAATTAAGTAGTTATACAAAATACAGGTTGACTAGTTATAAGCAGAATTTATATCAGATCATCTACTATTATAATATTTATATCACTAAAAGTGATAGCATTATTATGAAAATTTGCAAAGACATTTAAGATAAAATCTTACAGCTCAGCGAAAATTATAAATATTTCTTCAATAATTAAAGTATTAATTTTATTTAATCAGATTTTTAATTCATTATCTATATAAGCACATATGTAAAAATCTTTTTATATAGTTATGATTCGTAGTTTAAAATGAATTATTTTATTATCTATATTTTGAGCAGCTATTCCTGTTGGTGCTAGAAGTAAGTAAGTAGAATATTTTTGATTAAGCATATTAGTTATTTTAGTATCAGTTAAATCTGTTATAAAAAAATACAGCTATTTTATTTCATCATTTCTTTTTAAATATATTATCTTTTAAACGGTAGAGATTTGCTGACAATTTGCCTACTTATTTATTATAAATTTTCTTCTGATTTATTTTTATAAAAAATTAAAATTTCTAAAAATTTTTTTTTTTATAAATATATATAATATAATATTATAGTAAATTTTATTTTTTAATTATATAATAAATAATTTAAGGTTACTTACAGTATAAGCTAAAAATT